TCGGTACAAAGCTTAATTAATTACTTCGAAATTATTACATAATTTCGAAGTAATTTACATACTATTCAATTTATTACAACATTTTTCATAACATTTTCCCTCCTCTTCGAAGATGAGCTCTGTTTGAATCTTGTAACAGCTTTCTCTTTTTTTTTTTTTTTTTTTTTCAATGACAAACCACGTGCCCTTTACCCTTTTAAGGTATTTCTGACCTCTGTTGTCATTCAATATATGGTTTAAGTTGATTACCATGGACAGCTTGAACCAAAACCCTTCCACTATTATTCTTTAGTTTATATGTGCCGTTTCCTAATTTCTCCTGAATTTGGTACAGGCCTGTTCATTTCTCCTGTAGTTTTCCTCTAATTTGTGTTGCCAACTTAGCCCGATACCTTAGTACCATGTAACCTATTTCAAAAGCTTGCAAAGGGTGCAGTTGATCATGATGCTATTTTTGTTTCAACTGCGACTTACGAATGTTTTCTCGGGCTTCAATTCTGACTTCGAATAACTCATCAATGATCGCAAAAGTTCGTGCAAGAACTAATGCATCAGATTGATCTTCCTCTAAATTATCAATAGGATATGTATCTACCATCAATTCTACAGGCAAAATAGCTTCTCTACCATATAGCAAGTAGAACGGACTATATTTGGTGATATTATGTTTCGCAGTTCTCGACGCGAACAATGCCAGTGATAAATAATCATCCCAATCTCCACAGAACTGACTCACACACTTTGCTAACACTTCGCACAGGGTCCTATTATATCTTTCTACTAGGCTGTTGCTTTGTGGGTGATATGTCATTGACAGCTTGTATTTTATTTCTGCCTTTTTACATACCTCTACCATCACCCTATTGACAAAATAGGAACCTTGGTCAGATTGAATTTGACGAGGACATCCATGGCGGCTTATTATTTCCTCCAAAACAAAGGAAGCAACAAATTCAGCAGAACAGTAGGGTAATGCTCTTGATTCAGGCCACTTGGAGAGATATTCTACAGCGACAACCAAATAACATCTTTTTTCATTATGGGCAACGGCCCAACAATATCTAAGCTGATACGATCAAACAGCCGAGTGACCTTAATTGGATACAAGGCTTCTCTTTTTGATGGTTTTCCACGGCGTTGACATACGTCACAACTTTGGACGAAACTTCTAACATCATTCACTATTTGATTCCAATGATATCTTGCTTTCACCTTCTCAAGAACTACGGTTTCACCCAAATAGCCAGATACAGGATCTTCATATAATGCTTTCAGTACTAACTCTACTTGTTCTCTTTGTAATACCCTTAAAGGCTTATTTGGGTTTTGCTTGTTTCTTCAATACAGAATCCCTTCTAGTACGAGGTAATATTGTGCTTGTACCTTTAGTTTCTTTATTTGGTCTTTCAAATATTCCGGAGGTATTTCCAGTTTGTCCAGATAATTTACTAAAGTATTATAAGACTCTAGTTCCATTTTTTTTTTTTTTTTTTTTTTTGTTTGAGTAAGAGTACTACTTGAATTGCAATTTTCTTCAATTTTTATATTTTCAAACTGTCATGTGAGATTATTCCTTATCAGAATACGTCTCTTATATTGATATTGCTTTTAGGTACTCCTATCCTCGCACCTATTCATCATAGTCATCCAAAATTTTACTACGTTTGTTTGAAAGTTATTATTATTATTATTATTTTTTTTTATTTTTTTATTTTTTTATTTTTTTTAACATATGCATCAACCGGTATTAATTGTTCTGCTTTGTCCCTGCATTATTAATTATTTAATTTCTGTATTTGCTGTGGTATTATATATTGTAAAATATATAAAAAAATTTTATTATTTTTATTTTTATTTTTTTTTTTGATTATTGTTTATTTTCTACTTTCCATGTCAACAACTGCTCTTGATAGCGCATCGATATTGGGTATTCGCTTTCCAGGTTTATGCTTTACTACAAAGTCATAGCCTTGTAACATCATTATATAGCATGCCATCCTTCCTGTGGTATTAGACATGTTATTCAGGTAAGTCAAAGCACTATGGTCGATTATTAATGTAAATCAGGTCCTATGTAGATATTGATGAAATTTTTTCACAGCCCAAACAATAGCGGTACACTCTAGTTCCGTGATCGTATAGTTTTTTTCAGCTAGTTTAGTCGACCTACTCGCGTATTCAACAACACATTCACGTCCTTCATCATCGAATTGTGCTAATATTGCACCAAGAGCTACATGTGACATGTCAGTATTTAACAAAAATTCTTTATCATCCCTTGGGTATGCCAATATTGGTGCTGTAGTTAACCTAACCTTTAGCTCGTTAAATGCCTTCTCCTGTTTTCTTCTCTATAAGTAGGGCTCATCCTTTTTCATCAATTTGTAGAGAGGCGCAGCTATTGTTGAGAAATTTTTTATAAACCTTCGATAGAAACCTGCAAGTCCTAGAAATCCTCTTAGTGCTCGCAACTTCTTTGGTTTCGGGAAGTTCTTCACAGTTGTTATTTTGGACTCAGCAGCGGCAATGCCTTCTCCACTTATTTTATGGCCTAAGAATTGAATTTTTCTTTGCCCAAAAAAACACTTATCAGGATTTAACTTTAGGTTTGCCTCGCATAATCTAGATAACACAATACTGATATGATCCAAATGTTCTTCAAAACTGGGAGAGTATATATTGATATCGTCAATATAAGCCAGTATGAACTTCCACATTTCCTTATTTAAAACTCGATCCATTAGCCTCTGGAATGTTGCAGGTGTATTTGTCAACCCAAAGGGCATTACTTCAAATTCGTAGAGGCCGAATTTGGTAGTGAATGCTGTTTTTTCTTGGTTACGAGGATGCATTCCTACTTGCCAAAAACCACTCGCCAGATCCAGCGTCGTAAACCAGGTAGAGTTTTTCAAGACACCCAGAAGCTCATTTATTCGAGGAAGAAAATAGCTATCATGTTTCGTTTTCTTATTCAATTTTCTGAAGTCAACGCAGAAATGCAACTTGCCATTCTTCTTTTTTACTAGTACAACTGGGGATGCCCACGGACTACTTGACGGATGAATCAACCTTGCTTCTTCCATTCTTCGAATTTCCTGACTAATGAACTCCTGTTCAATCTTTGACGTAGGATAAAACCTTTATTTTATGGGAGGACCTTCATCAGTATGAATTTCATGTTGCACCACCGTCATTTTTCCCAGCTCATAAAGGTCCTATGCAAAGAGATCTTGAAAATTTTTTAACACTTTCTTAAGTTGCGTTCATTTTCTGGTGACATTTCTCCAATTTTTAGATATTCACTTAATTCCTTTCTTTCTCCAACGAGACCCGCTGGCCATTCATTTAGGGTTTCTTTTTCTAAAACAAATCAACCTGATTGTGCCCATTTTTCATACAATGCTTACATAACCTTTCCACTTTCTTCAAGATGGGGTGAAACTCACAAAACAAATATTCTTGATTCACAAATGCTTTATCCTCATACTTGTCTGAGTCTGCTTCACTTTCGCTAGACTCTTCACTGCTTTCATCCTCACTATCATTAGATTCATCCAACTTTTCTTTATTCCTTCCTTTTCCTGAGCTTTGAATCGTGACTCCTTTTTGTATATGATCAGCGATGTTCATGGGTTTGCAATATTCTGTTGGGACTTTAACTCTTTTATCACTGTCCCTTATTGTTAACTCACAAGTTTCCCAATCAAGTTGGGCCCTTGCCTTCTTCGTTCAATCGTTGTCGGCATCAGTTACAACAGCGCAAGAAGTTATAGTTTTGCCACCCACGGTTATCGGAAACCGATCAATTTCTCCCAAAGGCCATTTTTGTTCACCATGGATTCCAATCATTAATATCATCGAGAGACGATTGATCGAGATGTTCACTTTTTTCAAAAATCTAGCTGAAACAACTCAACCAGATAAACCGCTATCCAAAATTAGAACTATTGGTTCTCCATTAACACGAGCTTCGCAATACATCAACGTAGTATAGAACTCTTCACTTCCACCCAGACAAAATTTGGTAAACTTCGTTTTAACAATTCTTCTAGGACATAATATTTTCAAGGCCTTCTTTCGAACTCCAGAAGCTGCTTGGAACAATTGTGCATAAATAATGTCAGCCTTTTTATTCTGTAGGTCTGACATTATAGAATACAGTTGAATATTAGATACTATTTGAGGATAAATGGGTTTCGTCTTCTTCTTTTTAGCAACCTTTGGCTTTTTATCAACTTGGTTCTTTTCTTATCATTATGATTCTCAGTTAAGATTTCACCATCACTTTGATCCTCACCATTCTTTTGTCGTCTCTTTGCTGCATAAGCTTCTTCAATTCTGATTACTGAGGGATTTTTTGACATTGACACACACTCACCTTCTAAAGGTGCATTCTCTAGTTTAAATGCTCAAAGTTATCTTGTAATTGAGATAACATAGCTTGAGCCCTAGTTCCTTCATTCATTTGCGTATTATTACTACCCCTGCTATTATTCACATTATTTATATTAGGCATGGGCAGGTTATTACCATTATCATTATCCTGGTGGTTCACATTCGGACATTCTCAGGCATAATGCCCAGATTGTTAACACGAATATCACACGGGAGGATGACCGTTCCTATCTCTGCTTGGACGAGAATGGGTGTTGTTACCACTATTATTACTTTTCACCACCATTACTACTTCTTGTAGTAGAGAAATCATCTGTTCCTTAGAGTTATTAGTGATACCCGAGGCATTGGTTGCTGATTGGGAATTCATATGATAGGTTATTATTGGCATTTGAGACTGCACAGATATTGCTGGAGGAGCTACAGCACTGTCAGATATAGTATTATATATCGTGGCCGGTCCACACACAGCTAGGCTACGTGCAAAGGTCATTTCGCACATCCGAGCCCTATCAATAGCTTCTTGTAATGTGTTTGGCATAAAAGGTTCAACAGCCAAAAACAAATCAGGGTGAAGTCCTTGAACAAACATCTCACCTTCATTACTTCGTGATATTGATTTCCTACTTTCATTACTCATCAAAATAATGACAACATATCAGTTGCATATTGATCCACCGTCTCTCCAATACATTGTCGTCGTGTTAACAACTCAGTATTCCATTGTGTGATTTAAGCCTGGGTGCAAAACTGAAGTCAGAATTGATGTACAAAACTTTGTGTAGGAACATACTCGTTATCCCAATACTGGAAACCCGGTCTTTTTTGGTTTTCCTACCAAAACACAGCCAAACCCGAAAGATAGGCACCAACAACAGCCAACCTTTTCGTTCCCACAATATTATTAGTCTCGAAGGCTCTACTGACTGTTTCTAATCACTCAATGGGGTCTTGATTGTCTTCGAAGAAAACTGATATGTGTACAAGGTTTCATTCCATTGTACTTAATTGGGATCCTTGTTGTCTGGCCAAAGGGTTCATCGTAGTTTGGAGTAGCTATTCCCATGGCAGATTTACATGAGTTGAGTTCATTGGTTGCTTAGAGCTGTTCAACAACGTATCATTAATTTGCGGATTATTATTACTTTCAACAGGTTTATCACGTCCTTTCATATTGTCATTATCCGTAAAGTTCAAAGCATCATCCCACAGGTTCATATAGCTTCTCGTCATTTTATTGATATGTAATTCGTCCGTAGCTGTCGTATTCTTTTTCCCTCTTTTTTTTTTTTTTTTTTTAACGTATTAAAATGTCATTTGTTTGTATTATCGTTTGTACCACTTCTCTTTCACACAACTATAACACAAAACGAATTTCATTCTTGCTCCTTTTATTCACTCCACACAACTGGCACCAAAAATATAACGACTTGGAAGAGCTTTACCCTTGCCGTTCAATTTAGCATAGTGTTATTAGCATTAAATACAAATAATTTGTTAGTTAAAATAGGCGAAAGTATTTTGATTAATAAATATGTCTTTATTTGTATGACAAGAAAAGCGAAATCCAAATATATAAGGTTGAGCAAGAGAATTCTTTATTTAGTAATATATTTGTTACCGAAGAGAGTACAATTATTTTTCAGCAGGGAAGAAGTCCCTCCTAAAGTCTTTATTAACTCTTCTTATATAGTCTTTCTATTAGACTCAAAATTAGCAATTATGCAAAAATATGATCATTGATTTTTAGCTTGAAAAATGTCGTAATCGGTACAAAGCTTAATAATTACTTTGAAATTATTACATAATTTCAAAGTAATTTACATACTATTCAATTTATTACGACATTTTTGTAACAACATATCTATCTTCCACATGAGCCATTTCCACTTCCTAACCATTTCACTTCACTTTTCCTCTTTCTACTTCATTGGTTTATCTATGTTCCTCTTAGGTCAAACCAACCTCTCACTCCAATATCATTACCTAACTCAATCTACTATTCCCCAATCTTTCTTCTTCTTTTAACCTCTCATATTAGATATATCAACTCCTTCTTTCTCTCTTCAACCTGATTATCTATCTATTCCTATTAAAATTGCCTCTCTAAATATTAATGGTCTTTGTCAATCAAACAAAAAACTTTTACTCTCTGAAATACTTAACAACAACTCTTTTGATATTTAGGCCTCTCAGAAACACATCTCTTTTCTAAAGAAGAAAACTTTTTTAAAAACCAAATTCCAAACTTTAACAGTTTCTGGAGCTCTTTCACACAACCACATCAGGCTAGTGTTGGTATTTTTATCCACCATCGAATTTCCAAATATATAGCACGTACTCACAACTATAAAGGCCATATTATTGTTCTAGATCTATATTTCAAAAACCAACCAATTCACCTACTCCAAATTTATATTCCTACTTATGAGAAAAAACAACTTTGCAAAGAAATCTAAGAACAAATTATCCTGCTTACACAAAACTCAAATTACAAAGTTATAATTATAGGAGACCTTAACGATATTCCTAACCCAAGAATAGATCGCTCTCCTCCTAAAAAAACATCCATTCCTAAACTTCAACTTATAAAATATCTACAATGTCTACAATTTAAAGATATTTATTGCTTTTTCTTTCCCAATATATCAAACTTCACCTTTCAACACTCTAATATTAAAAGTAGAATTAACCAAATATGGACTTTATAGTTGTGGGTATGTGCTATATATTTGGAAATTCGATGGTAGATAAAAATACCAACACCAGCCTGGTGTGGTTGTGTAAAAGAGCTCCAAAAACTGTTAAAGTTTGGAATTTGGTTTTTAAAGAAGTTTCCTTCTTTAGAGAAGAGATATGTTTCTTAGAGGCCTAAAATATCGAAGAAGTTGTTATTAAGTATTTCAGAGAGTAAAAGTTTTTTGTTTAATTGGCGATGACTATTAATATTTAGAGAGGCAATTTTGATAGGAATAGATAGATAATTGGGTTAAAGAGAGAGAGAAGGAGTTGATATGTCTGATATGAGAGGTTGAGAAGAAGAAGAGAGATTGGGAGAATAGTAGATTGAGTCAGGTAATAATATTAGAGAGGAAGGTTGGTTTGACCTAAGAGGAACATAGCTAAAACAATGAAGTAGGGAGGGAAAAAGTGGAGTGAAATGGTTAGGAAGCGGAAATGGCTCATATGGAAGATAGATATATGCCTCAGTATAACTATTATTGTAATCTTTGTTGTTTAGAATTGAAATTTTAATGAGATCTGATAAGTAGTAGGAGGAAAAGTCATGTTTGATATATTGAAAAAAAGTGAGGATAGTTTGTGAGTGCTCTAGTAATGGTAGTTTATGATAAAGAAGGAACTTGTTATAACAAGTAAGAGAGTTTATGAAGCTTAGTTTTTTAGTTAGTTGTGTTATAGTTTCAAGTTGTGAATCAGAAACTGGAAATAGTTCATTGTTATAGTTTAAGTTTATAAGAGGTTGGTCAGTTAGGTTTAATAGAAGTGGTGTTGTTTGTGGTTTATAGGAGGTTAATGATGTTGGGGATGAAACCACAAAGGAAGTGTCTTCTACAGCAGTCACCATATGCCCAGCTTGCATAGCTCTGCAAGATTCAGAAGCCCTCAGATTAAGCGTTAGAGAGCCATTATTATCTAAATCTTCTGGGTAAATAGGCTTTATTGTCTGCCTACTTACATTATTTTCTATACTAACTGCTATAGGTACATCTTTTAGTATAGTGGCGGCTTTTTTTAATAAGTTGATAACTTTCTTTTGTATATAATAATTGTATATAGTCTAGTAATAAGTATTATTGTTTTATAAGTAAAGTCTTTCAAATCTTGGATTATTTTAAATTAATTTTAATAGTAAATCTTAATATTCGCTTAGAGCTAAAAATAGCTTTTATAGTGATTTTTTTTTTTAATGAAATTTTACATTATCAAAAAGTACTTTAAAGTATATAAATAAGTTATCTAGATAATTGATTTACATCAGCCAATCAGATGAAAGTCATTCTATAAAATCTCAACCTATTTCTCCTTTACTGATACTAGTCATTCAAATAAGACTATTTCAAATTAAAAAATAATTCTGATATGGTTATACAAGTATCAAAAAAATTTTTATATATTTTACAAAGCTTTTTGCTTTTTTAAAAGCTTCGAGTAACTTATCACTTTTATTAAATATAACTAAATATACTAAGTAAACTTGAAGCTTTTTTACTATATTTTAAAAAAATCAAAGGATTCAAGCAGATTCAATTGATATTTATATTGCAATTTACTTAATAAAACATATCTAAAGTTAAAGAATACATAAATATAGAACTACTAAATCTTAAATTTTATTCATTAACAAGAAATAAATAGAAAGAAACCAAAGCTAATGGGCTGATCAAGGCAATCTAGATAAAAAGTACCAAATTAAATTATATATATTATATAAATTTTATAGAGAATTAGTTAAGAAAAGCCAAATAAATAAAAATTTTAATTGAAAAAGTTGAAGCTAGTGAAAATGTAATTAAAGTTGATATAAATATATAGTGTACCAAGTCACTTCTTATCAAAAATCATGTTTATTTTAAAAATCTATAAAATCTTAAGATTTAAATATTTTTTAAAAATGTAACCAATAAAAACTATTGTTTTCTATTAGTACTATCCAAATTATCAGTTAGAATTTTTTAAAAAGTTTACGATTTAAAGTTTTAAATATTTAAAGCTATTATGCTTTCAAAATTTTGGTGTTTAATATAAAAAATTTTAAAATTTTTTTTTTATCTAATTATAATTACTATATAACGCATTTTGATTGGCTAAATAGTATTTATATATATTCTAAATTTGGCACATTTGATGTGAAGTGACTTGGTGCACCATAGCTAAAAGTATAAATATAACTGGAGCTATAGTAGATATAGTTGAAGCCAGTATAGTTTAAAAAAATAATTAATATAGAAGACATAATCACAGTTATATGTAAATTTTTTATATATAAAATTATAATAAAAAATATATATAAATTACTATAAACTTTGTAGCTTTGATATTTTTTAATCTATATATTAATTTAAAATTAAATTCTTACCTGAAAGATGTAAATAATATTGGTTTCATAATGCTTAGCCAGAAGACTTCTATATCTTGCAAAGCTATACAAGCTGAATATATAATAACTAATATATATAGAAGACTATATACTACTATTCTCAGAATTTATATCATTATTTTACTCTAAGAATCAAATACTAACACCCAATACAAATATTTATTTGCTAACACCAGAACCTTTAGAAGAGGATAACCCTATAAAAGAAGATTCTGATAATCAGTATATTCCCAACAATATAGACATAATCAAGAAAGAAGCTATACTATATGTAGCTTTAATCCCAATGAAGAAATAGACCCAATCACATATTACAATAAAATTTTCTTTTTCTATAAATTCTAAATACTTCTACAACCACAATTAATCAGCACCTTTCTTTACTATATCTATGAAATTATCTCTATTTTTACTCTAATCAATATATTCAAATCTCTTTTAAACAATATCTATACTATAATATTATATATACAGAAGTATATATATATCTTCACATGAAATATACTTCCAAACTATACTTTTTATATACTTCTTAAAAACCTACTTTCTTATTACAAATTAGAACTGAGATTATCTAATAATTTTTCTAATAAATCACAATCCTTCTACTCTTTTTCTTAATTTTCTATATTAGATAATTTATTTCTTTTATATAGCTTTTCTACTATCTCTAAAATATTATTATATTTAACAATCTTTCAATAAACCTTTCTCCTCTAGCTTCTCTGTCCCCTCTATTCCAACCTTTAAACAGCTCTTTTAGATTTATCTTCTTTTCTAGCAATCTAGTTATACAATTTTTACAATTTAATACTTGCAATTTACACTTTACTATTGCTACTTATAATGTTAGAGACTTCAATATTGTCTCTAAAAGGCAAACTTGGCAGAACTACTGTATCAACCACAACATTTCTATTGCCTGTATCACTAAAACCAAGATTTTTAACAAAACCAAACTCTTTTTTTGCAATAACAATCTTTATACATATTACTAGAACAACTCTAACAGCTCCATGAAAAGAGCTGCTATTAAAGTTTGTAATCATCTTAAACCTCATATTTACAGCTATCACATATATTCTAATAGTGCTATTGCACTCAATCTATTCTT